AGATAAAACTGCCCCTCCTGCTGTCAGTGCAAGAGAAAGTGTGAATTATTTTTCTTTTTCTCCTCTTAGGGCACTGTTTTAACAATAAATATAACATCTGTGATGTTTGACAAGAATGAGTGGGAAACCCCCAACACTTTTAACCCTGGGCATTTCCTGAAGGACGGGAAGTTCTGGAAAAGAGAATCATTTCTGGCATTTTCTGTGGGTAAGATTTGCTGAATTGTGGTGTTTTCATGCTGAGGCACCAGGCTTCGGTTTCCAACTGCATGGAAGGGAAGGGCAGATATACTTGGGAGATGCCACTCAAACAGTGGCCACGTGGTCATCCCAAAGCACCACAACCACACACAGAGCCCTTTCTTGTCTCTTTTTAAATGAAGAGAAGGGAGATGAGGATGAATAAAAATCCCTGATAATTCCAGGGACCCCAGGAACACTTTCACCAGGGCAGAAGCATCGCTCTGTGCTCCTGCTCCCACATGCCTGAGGTCACTGGGGCCTCACTGTTGCCACCCCAGGCTATCCCAGCCAGCAGCTTCCCTGGGGAGGTGGCTTTTAGCACCCCTGTTTCCCATACCAGCATCACAAACCTTCTCAGTTTGGGCTGTAAAACTCATCCTGGGAAGGGATGAGGGACCATGGTCCTGAGGGAAGGCAGAAGCATTTCCAGCAGCAAAAGCTCAGTCTGAGGATGCCGTGGGTTGCTGTCTCCGCAGGGAAGCGCGCCTGCCTGGGCGAGGTGCTGGCCCGCTCCGAGCTCTTCCTCTTCTTCACGTCTCTGCTCCAGAAATTCACCTTCCAGGCACCCCCGGACACCACACTCAGCCTCCACCCCCTGATGGGCATCACGATGGCCCCACAGCCCTACAAGATCTGCGCTGTGCCTCGGTAGGGAAGCCTCAGCCACAACCCTCACAGGGAAAATCCTTTGTCAGGAGTGCTGAAAACAAGGTCTTGGCAGCTCTGCTCTGCTCAAGGGAGAGGCTGGGCCGTTTGTTTCTTTTAAAGCAGTTGCTAAATAATTTCCTTTATATGTGGACCTTGTGCTCTGTTTGCCATGAGAAACATCATCAGCCTGGGAGCTGCCAGGGCACTTTCAGGCCCTATGGCACTGTAAATTAATGAGAGGTTTGGGGCCTTCCTAATTTTATGATGGATGGCCATAGTTCACCTTGGCAAAATGAGGGACACTTGAGAGATTGCAGTGTAGAGGCTGTGGCTGTGTACAGTCGAAGAGCAATACCAGCCCTTGTGTTGTAACACTAATACAAGAATACAAGCAGTAATTCATCACCATTTTAAGGAAACGTATTCCTCTAAAAAAAAAAAAAAGTCTCTCTCTAACAGCTCTCTTTTATGCATCAATAAATGTTTACCAAAACATTTTTGGCATGAAGTATTCTGCAAAGTAAAGACCAACACAGGCCATGTCCAGCACTGGCTGTAGCCTTTGGACCACCCACATTGCTGCAGCATTGCAGGAGAATAGCACTGTAACAGCAAAGCCAGTTCTGATGAACTGATGGAAATAAATGACCCTGACAGAACACGTAAACTAGAACTAGGATATTCAAAATCATCCCCATTTACCTGCCCAGCATCACTGAGTGGCTGGTGTGTCCAGGGGCAGAGGGGTGAGCTCCAGCAGCACATGATGCAGTCAAGATTCTAATGAGAAAGAGGGTCCCTTGGAAAACACCAGCAATAAATTACTATTTTAAACAATCACATGCAAGGTGAAACAGTCCCAAGATTCACAACTGATGGTTAACACCATAAAAGCATTCACTGGGTGAGGCCTCTAGGCATGAGAAGCTGCAGCTCCTGGGAGCGGGACCGGGGCTGCCTGGCAGGAAAGCAGCACAGCACCAGTAACACACACTCCAGTTCCTGCTCACCTGCTGAGGAAATGGGGAGAAAGCAATCTTTTCCTCTTAATTTTCAATTTTCCCTGAAGTACTGTTCACGTATTCCTAGAGGAAGCAAATTTCTCCCAAGTGAACACAGCTTCTGGCAAGGCTCCGTCAAGCACAGGGCTTGGTGGGGAGGTTCTGTGCCAGGTGAAAGCAAGAGGTTGGAGTAAGATGCTGTTTCTGGCACTCAAAGCTGTTTTGCAGATCCATAAGGGGGAGACGATAACACATAGTGGGACCCAAACCAATCCATTTATATAGTGCAGGAGACTTGTCTCATCCCAATTCTAGTGAGAACCTGGTCATTCCCAACCCCAGCTCTCAACACCTCCTCTCCCTGTGCCAGCTGCCCTCCCACCTGCTGCTGCCACAGGGCTCCCACACCTTTCCTTGACAGCAGAAACGAGACAGTCTATTTGACTTTCTAGACCTTACATCCTTTCTTTTCCTTTCTTGGGAGAAGCAGAAGGGGAAGGCTGGAAGTAGGCTGCGTGCCTGGAATTGACTGGGAACTGGGAAAGGGGGAGCAGTGACAAGTGTCTGCTGTGTGCAGCATTACTTTCAAAGCACTCCCAGTTTGCAGGTGTCATTTGACTGTTTTGTGGTACTTTTGTTTCCCTAATGCTTGGCTCAGATTCCCATTTCCTTTCCCAAGCTGCTGCTATATCCAAAAGCTTCTTCCCCCTCCTCCCCAGGCCTCTGTTGTACTTTGAGAGAAAAACACATCTCACAGGCTTCTTATTTTGCCCCCTCCACCAAAACCCTCTCCCACACACGGTTACCTCAACTCCTTGTCTTTGCACTCTGGGCTTTATTCCTGCACCTCTTCTCCAGGGCCCCACTCTCACAAACATACAAACCTCCCACTGCAGTGCTTGGCTCTTCAGGAGTTACCAGAAAAGGCATAAGTAAACAGGGTCAGGGCTGAGCACAGCTCAGCTCAGGCTTCCTGCACAGCTCAGCTCAGGCTTCCTGCACAGCTGAGTGCCTCCTCTCTTCCTTTCTCCCTCAGACACACACCTGCACATTTTTTTCTTCAGTGTCTGAAATTGCCTTTACATCTAGTCTCAGAAAGCAGAAAAAAACAGTTCTTCTGTACGTGGTTGTTCACCTCATGCTCACCAGGATTTCTGCCAGTGCAAAGGCCGTTCCACACTGAGGCATCACAGGTTCTCATCCTCAGGTCTTCCCTCTGCAGGGCTGAAGGCTGCCTGATCTTCCCCAGCATCACTTCTGGGTTGGAGCTCAGGGAACAAGAAAGCTTACAGTGAGACTAACAGTGGAGCACTTAAATCACCTGCAAAGCAGGCTGCAGAGGGCAGTCAGCTTTCTGTTCCAAATAACAGCAAACAGTGATTTAGAGAGGTACCTGTTCTGTGTCCTCTCAGGTGGGGCTGACAACAGGCAGATACCCTCCCCTCCTTCAGTAGCTGTAAGCAATTCCTGAAGTCACCTGACAGTTTATCTGTAGTAGGGTTTAGGCTTTTCACTTCCCCAAGTCCCTTGCCCAGCTCTGAGATGACTGACTGCAGGCTGAGCAGAGGGAACCAGCTTTGGGTGGGAGCAGAAATATGAGCAGGAAAGAACTGAGAAGAGGAGGGAAAGGTAGCACAACTCATTACATCCATACCCTCATTATACACGTTACACATCCTGGCACATGACATTTAGATGGTGTAAGTGTTACCAACATGCTGATCCAGGTCACATGTTGCCCAGAAATACAGATGCTTACATCAACTAGGGACCATTAAATGCATTTCTTTGAATAAAGACAACAAAGAATTAATTTTAAAAATCTTTATGTGAATATAAAAGAACTCTTTCCAAAGAAAAAAATAAAACCAAAAGTTTAAAAATTAGTGCAATTTTCAAGTTCTATGCAACACAGTGTTTACATTTGTTTTAAACAGAAGATGTAGACACCGATACACCGAAAACTTTACGTCTAGCATTAGGGGAAGGAAAAAAAGAAACATGTAAGAAAATTACTGTACTAGACATTACCAACTCTTAAACAATTGTTTTTATTTTCTAATTTCTAATCTATTTATGGCTACCTAAATAGAACATCAGTATTGCTTATATTACTTATTTCCAAGTAAGTGTATATCATATAAAATAAAATACCCATATATATATATTTTTAATGAACCAAAAAATCAGGTGAAAATTTATTTTCAGTGAATGTTTCTTAATCCACTATAATAAAGTTGTTGCAAAAGAATCTTCTCAAAACTGCTGCCTGACCCATCTTGAGTAAAAGAACTCACTAGTCCAGAATTTGTATTATTGCTATAAAACTTCTCTTCCATAGTAATCTTATATAAAAAATAATTAACAAATGATATGTCAATCAGAACATATTTGTTGTTTCTTTGGATCTGTATTACCCGTTTTACTGGAAACTGGCTAAATTACTAATAATCCTGTTTAACTTCACCAGTATTCAGTGATTTCACCTCATATTTGGATGTGTTCCTAACTGTGCTGATGGGATGCTATGAATTCATCTTGCAGCAGAGACAGATGCCTCTTTCTTTGTCCTGCCTCAGCAGTGGTGCATAAAAGGACACGTATTGACAGAGCTCTGCTGCTACATGTTGGATACAACTCGGCTGTAAAACAGCAAAGGCATTAGTAGCTTTTTTGTTTGACATGAATGAAGCAGACATTAAAATTATACTTATCTAATGATCCTTCCTGCACAGCCAGAGGAGCTGAAGTGAACACACCACCATGGCTTATAATCCAATATTTATTTCTAAAGATCAGTTCCTCATTCATAGGACATAACCCAAGTTTTACCAGTTGTAGAACAGCTGCTCTTAAACAGGTTCTCAATCCCAAAGAAACCCTTAAGTTATATTCACAGGCTTAACTTCTAACAGTTTGGAAAAGTCCCAAATAAGCAACATTTTATTCAATATCTGAAAACCTGATTAATTTTTGGCAACCCCAACGAGACTATGGGGACAAGTGTGCCCTGAAAAAGGCTGATCCCTGCCTGTAGTTTGGGATTGAAATCCTTCCATCACTAGTTAGAAGACAAACTTCCAATTAAATGATAAGGAGGTTCTTGCTTATTTTTGGTCCCAGGGTCTGCAGTTTTGAGAAGTGCAAGTCAAAGACATTTGCTCCAAGTTTGTCACTATTCAGCACCTGACAGACACTGACTGACACAGTTCTACTACTGTGAGAAGTACAACAAATGCATCAAGCCTACAAACTAGATGAGTATTTGAGGGACGTCCATGAAAATTTCCATGCTGCAAAGAACGAGGGTTAAGAGACCCACTCAACACCATCAGTGACAGCTTCACATTTCACTACACCACACCACAGACCAGGCTTTAGGAATGTAAGCATCTTGCTAAGACTGAATCTCCTGCTCCACTGCTCACCACCATCTCCCACACTACCAGCAGAGTGAACAAGCAACTGTATCTTAAAAACACAAACTCCACTAATATCACTGCAGCAATAAAAGACCTCAAAACCCAAGAGGTAGTCCAAGCATAGAGTCCCAAAGAACAGCACCAGACAGACAAAACTCTCCAACAGCCACTTGTCTGGCACGTTCTCTGCTCTCACAACATATGTAGCATGAGACTGGCTTTTAAACAGTGCTTTTTGAAGGAGGAAATCTGTTGAATGTCTAAATGTACAGCACTGTAAAACAACCACCACAACTAAGAAGCAACCTTAAGTATTAGAAATTAATACTTGCCTTTTCCCTGGCATTGCATGCAATGCCCAATAAAGAATTTAAGATGTTGGGGAAGGAAGAAATCAAATGACAAAAGCCATAGCGAGAGGCATGTAAAATGAAAGACTACCCAAATTTCATAATTCAAGACTTAAATTCTGCAAAGCTGAATTCTGCTCTCAAATCAAATATGGTGAGACAGGTGTGTTTTCATTCACAAATGTGGTTGAGTTTTGTATTAGATGGTGCTCTAGTAGACCATCCTCAAATACTTAGTTTAAGTGTATTCATTTTATTTTACAGGCTGCTGCAATTTTATTTCATTTAACTATTGGCATAATGGATTTGTTCTAGACAGTCTGCAAAGAAGAACAGACATTGACAGGTTTCCTAAAAATACAATTCAAAACAAAAATAAGACATTTGGAAAATAAAGTGACAAATTCTGTGAAAGACAGCAACTTCCTGCACACAAATTTCAGATATCAATCCCTTTTTCGTCTTCTATCACACTATTATAGTTTATGCACTTCTCTCACTGCCAACAACTGTCAAAGCCATCTTTCATTTCTCTGCCTAGTACTCAGTTGAGAATAACTGAAGTGAAAACTACATTTAAAAAAGAAAAATTAATTTCCATGCACAGGGTTGTATAAATAGGTTGAAATAAATGGGGCTCCTTCCCACCTAATTCCCCTTCTGCAAATAAATGCAGCATATGAATATGCCAGACTTTAAAATACAGCCCAGACTTTTGAATTATTATTATAGCTTTCTCTTACACAGGAAAAGACAAGCTTTTTTGGCTTAAGTGAATTCAGCATTTTAAAGACAGGTTTTCTTTAGTGTGTATATGCACAAAGTTAAGCTTTTTTTTTTCCTAAACTGAGTAATTCTGCTTCTTACGAAACAAATCCTGTCTTCTGTACTGGTACTATACCTTTATTTTCTTTTTCTATAAATGCAAGTATTTTCTTGCATTTAAAACTGTACTTTCTATTCTAAAAAAACCTGTATTATTTTAAAACATGGTACCAATCTTTTAAATCTATTTTTAGAAGAGCCCAGCAAAAATGCCCAATATTGCCAGTTTCCTGAAGTAAGTTTTTGCATAACATCTTCCCATTATAAAAGTCAACTTTCTAGCCCAAACCCATTAAATAAAGTTTTAAATATATAGTGCCAAATTTCATATTTACAATATAATCTGAAGGCAAATATAAATCTTTTACGTTGTGCTTGTAAATAGGTACTGCAGTTATCAAATCTACTTGGAAAACTACGTGCTACCTTCCACACACACCACTGATCAAATCAATCACTCCTTGATAGTTCTGATGTTGAATTTGCAGCTGCCCAGTTCTAACCTCCCCTTTCCTCAAGTAAAGTGGAAGCTATAAAACATTTAAGGACACTTTAGCAGGTAAGTTTTCCTCATGGTCCTTGTGGTTTAATCAGATGTTGCCCCCGGTACTTTAACAGTGAGATTCCTCCTGCTGGTGGTGACATGACGTTGCTGAGCCAGGAAGGAGCGTCCAGGCCCATCTTTGCAGGCACCACTGCTGCCAACCAGCCTTGCTTCCATACCCAGCTTCTGCAGAGTCAGGCTCTGCAAAACAGTTAAACAACAACTTAAATAATAGCAAAAAACGGAAGAAAAAAGCCCTGCCATCTTTCATACACAAAGCTCATCCTTATTTAGTACACACACAGAAATTCTTTTACTGGATTTCTTAGATTAACTAAAATGTAACTGTCGCATTTAGCAAAATATGTTTTTCTGATACACCAACAAATGAATTTTTGACCCACCTTGTTATACCACGCAGTTACAATTAGCTTTTCCTCATAATCACGTAGCTTAGCCAGTTTGTATTCATTCTACAAGGAGACAAGAGGGAAGATAAGCTCAATTAAAACACAAATTTTATCTGCATAAACTTATGGCAGCCCATAGAGTGAAACAGAGGCAGCAGAAATGCTTCAATATGCAAAGTAACTGGAAAGCTTAGAAGTATAAATAAAGATACTTCCATTAAAGACTGAGAGATAAATTACCAGATTACTTCAAAGAGGCTAAACTTCATAAAAGTTGCAGTTAGAAACACAGAAACAACTTAGAAATATACTCTGAGGGTTTGTGTGGGGTGTATCAGAAAGTCTATAAAAAATTCAGTAATCTTTCCAGCTGAAAAGACAAGAATGTACTTCCAGCAGCTGACTATTCTTATTGTGTTACCGAATTGCTATTATATAATATACTTAGAACATCTTGCATAAAAGCAATCTGAGGCCACAGCACATATATAGTCAGACCTATCAGCCTACTCATCTGTGTTGAGAAATTCTGTATTTGTCCAGGTAACTATTTAACTAGACCCATCAATATTGCTGTAAAACTAAATGAATTTCTCCATTTTTTTTGATATTTGGACTACTGTCAACAATCCTTTCAGAATTTCAGCCGAGCTGAAATCCTGAATCATTACTGAATCATTAGGAAACAGTATCTTGACTGTCTAATATCAGGACAGAACACATTACAAGTTGTTATTAAATATATGTAAAATTTTTACCTCTAGTGCTTCAATTTTCTTGTCTTTCTCCAGTATCTGTTTTCTGAGCAACATAATTTCTGCTGATGCTGGATTTAGCTTGGGGTCTAAGGTTTTTATCACCTGGATAAGGCAAAAAACAAGAGCATAACAAGTCAGGTTTGATTCTCAACAGCTCTGCACCTCATCTGCTCAGAGAAGGAATATGGAAACAGTCTGGGCACTGCTCAGGGAATTATGATGAAAATTAGGCTGTTACACTGTTAACAGAGACCAAAGGGTACACAGGAATTATTAATGTACCTCATGTTTAGTATAAACCCCATTCTCTCATACACTTAACTGACTGCAGTTGAGCAATTTGATTAAGAATGCCATTTTTAATTGGGAGGTGGGGACACACACATTCAAATCAATCTGTTTAACAGTTTATGAGGGAGGAATGTGTATGTTCAGAAATAAGCCACTTACATTTCTTGCTTTCTCAAGGTACATTTTATATCTTTCTTCCATTGCTTTCATATCCTCATCTTTTTTTCGTAAAGCTGCTTCCAGCTCTCCAATCTTCTGGGCTATTTACAGAAATTACCAACAAAGACATACAAAATAAAAACGGATGTGGTACTTTCAAAGCTTCTGAGTTCCCTTCATTTCAACACTCTCAAAATAAACCTTCTGGCTACTACAGAGTTCTCTAAGTTATGATTTTTGTCTCAGTTGTCCCACCTGACCCTGAATTCCCATTTGGCAGAGTGCTGTGCAACAAAACTAAACCCCCAGGATCCTCTCCCTGCCCACCAGTGGGTACAAAAAAAATTCCCTCCATACATCCCATTTCACGTTTAAAGCTAAGCTGTAGCAGAAACCCCTATCCAGACAAGTATCCCATAGTCTACTGGCTATGGGAATCATTTCAGAAGACACTTAACTTATTAAAAAAAAAAAAGAAAGCCAAAAGCCCAAAAATCCCACACAAAACAACTTACGGTTCTGACTGTCATCAGGCTGGAGCTCTGCAAGATCAGCCTCTTTCTTCTGTAACTCATCATGAACTTCGTTCAACTTTTCCCTATGAATGAAAGGCTGGACTAAGGCTTAAGCTCACAAATAATTCCTTGCAGTTTTAACAGCTGGAAGCTGAAACTTGATGGCAGAAGTGCTTAAATAACTATTTTAAGCTCTGGCAATTCTTCTGAGTTTAAACAGAAATATCAGTATGTGTTTTTGAAGAACCATAAAAGTTGTGACTCCTGAATTGAGTCCCATTTACCTAAAACTAGGAAAAAATGAACAATGAAACCCCTCCAGCAGCTCCTTAGCAGGAAGTACATCTGCTGAGAGGATGGAAGTATTCCAGAAGAATGGAATATGTTTTGAGCCCAGTAACAGTGATGCTTTTAGCAGTCTGTTGTAGAATCAGAACACTTAAAAAGCTGGTGGTGGTGAAGACAGTTAAGTGGTACTAGTATTACCAGATCATCATGATCAGAGTGGACAAAACCAGAACACCAATACTTTACTCACTTTATGCAGGATTCCCAAATCAGTGGCTTAGAAAGACAAGACATCCCTGCAAAGATTTAAGCAGTTTCTGTGCTGTATTTAGCATAAATAAGCTGTTGTGGATGCATGTGCCTTACTTACATGTGTGCTGCCAACTTCTGCTTCAGGTTGCTGGACTATGAAAGGGAAGAGTTAAAATTCAGTTATATTTCAGTGTTTCATTCTAAGCAACATTAAAGTGCTCTTACAAATCAGCCAAGAATACTTAGCACAAGTAAGTCAAAGCAAATAAATACCAAGGAAACTGCATTTTTGTAACTACATTCATATTTTTTTGCATTGCACAGAAATCAATTCCAAATCCTTTTCTTTAAAGCTCTTCCTCTCGTTATACCACTATTGACTGATAAAACTAAATGTAGAAGGTAGAAGAGTTACAGTTCCTTAAAGAAGGTGGAGGAAAGGAATCACATAAAACATGAGCTTTTCAATTGAAATACAGTTGGTGTGGTGTGTTTTTCAGACACACTGAAAAATAAGCTGCACATCTAAACAAAGGACTTGATGTTACGCTGAAGGACTTAAAACTGGTATGTGTTCAAGGTCAAGAAGCCTGAACTTCTACTTACTCCTTCAGTCTTAGATCCCTGCTCCTGCAAAGTCTTTTGCAGATCTTCAATCTGCTGCTGTAATCCCCCAATACGCTCTTCATTCAGCCTTTTAGGAAGAAAAGACAGTTATTGGTCATCTGTATAGATCATAGACAAATTTTTCTGCTTCATGTCTGGATAACAGTTTTTCAGAGGTAGATCCAGGAAGACTTAAGCCACAAAGAAACTGATTTTTAGTTTGACTTGAACTTCTGCTGAAACAAGCACATGGAGCTTTAATCAACATTTTATAATGAATCGTTTTAAGTTTTGAGAAACCTTAACTACCAAAAACTCTCATATCCTAATGAACTTCTTTCAGCATTAACTGATAGAGAAATTCAGACCATATCCCATGGTCTAGCAGTTTGAAGTTCTAGAAATAGAGTTTATATCCATTCTTGGTCTACTTTCAAGAATCACTCAGAACTAAGAAAAGTGTCCTAAAAGCAACATCTCATTTATGGTTACACTGGTGAAAGAAAAGGTACTTGGCTTCCTACACGGTGCTACACTACAGATACAGGCCACAAGGCCACTCTCAAATTCCAGAAATCACTTTTTGCTGTGTTTTAAGATGTAGTTTCACCTTTTCTCAGTTTCCAGTTCGTTCACTGTCCGGTGCTTCTGCTCCAGCTGTTCCTGGAGCTCTGCAATACGCTCATTTTCTGACCCTTCCTGTTTCAACAGGAGCATCTTATTTTCATGCTGCAGCCGAATAAACATTTCTCTGAATCAAAAAAACCCCAAAAAAAGTCCCTGTTAATTAAGAAGGTGACGAAGAGGAAGAAGTAATATTCCTGTTCGCTCTCCCAGCCTTAAAGTGTGAGTAAATCAAATTCTGCTTAATGATATAATTGGGGTAACACTGCAATTTTTTATTAAAAGGTAACTTAAAATATTGTGATGTTTGCAAATTGTAAGAGATATGAACAAAGTTTTAAGTTGTCACTCCAAATCCAGATTTATTTACAGCAATCTGATATGCTTTTAAGAAAAATTAATTGTAGTATAGGAAAATAATAATTAACGGCTACATGGTGGTCTGAATAAGCATCATGGAGGCAAAGCAGGAATTGGGATACAGAGTCATGATCCTTCCTGGAGACAGCGTCAAGCCCCACCCATGAACATCCCAAAACAACCTCTACCTTTTGGTCTCACCTGTATTCCACTGGCAGAATTTCAGCAGCAAGATTCTCATGGCTTTTAACACGAGAGCCACCTGAAATCACATGGGAAGTTTAATTAACACACTCAAAGAAATCTCTAATACAAATAAAAAAGCCTCTGAAGGTACAGCAATACCTGTTTGACTCAGGTGATCCTGCTGCATCTGTGAACACCGGAGCTCTTCATTTGTTTCTTTTAATGCATCACACTGCACTATCAGTCTCTAACAAGACAGATTTGAGGTGGAGTTAAGTCAAACTGCTCCATTTTAAGAGCAAATAACAAGAAGCAGAACGAGTACTGACACATGCACTTTTCAGGTTGGACTTGATGATCTTGGAGGTCTTTTCCAACCTGGATGATTCTATGATTCTTTATTATATGTGTATACACACACACACACACGCACAATTTTTATGAAGATACTAATTCCAGGAAGATTTTTCTCCAGCAGAGCATTTAAGAGAGACATTAGGTGCTCAAATAAACTCCCTTAGAGAGACTTACCTCTTTTTCTTTGATTAAAGCCTCATGTTTTTCTTCAAGTCTCTTCATTTCAAATGCCAGCTTATCAGCTCTTTTGGATTCTTCAGACAGTTTGTTATGAAGCTCTTGGACCTTTCCAGAAAAACAGTGTATCCATATTGCAAGATGCTACTTCTAAAAGCTATATTAAAACAGTCACTCCTGTCCAGTTCAGCCAAAATAAAACAGCTGGTCCCTCAAGCTTAGGAGAGGGGAGATGGGACAGGAGCCTGTGTGCTTTGGGGTTTTTTTTGTTAGTTGGTTGGTTTGGGGGTTTTTTATATTTAACTCTCTCTTTTAATTACTACTGAAATTAAAATAAAACTACAGTTTAAAATACATTTCCATGAAGAAATATAAGAATACAAGCATGTAGTGACAGGACAAGGGGGATGGGTTCAGATTGTAAAGAGAGAAAATTTAGGTTAGATATATGAAATTCTTTCCTGTGAGGGTGGTGAGGTCCTTTCCTGTGAGGGTTGCCCAGGGAAGCTGTGGTTGCCCTATCCCTGGAAACGTTCAAGGTCAGGTTGGATGGGGTTTGGAGCAACTTGGTCTAGTGGAAAGCGTCCCTGCCTATGGCAGGGGGTTGGAACAAGATGATCTTGAAGGCCCCTTCCAACCCAAACCATTCTCTGATTCTGTGATTCCTTACAAGTGACCTCAGTAATAGCTGAACAACTTCTCCCAGAAGACAGTAAAAAAGAAAAGTTTGCAAACCACGGACTCTCACATCAGTTGAGAGAGCAACCAGTTAAGCTTCCCAGTTTTACAAACAGGCAGCGTATAAAAGTTTTCATAAATAAGAAATCCTAAGGGGATGACACAGGTTAAGCCCATGGGCTGTTACATTAAGCTGTACCCAAGTACCTGAGGAAAAATTAATATTTCCAGTATAAGTGTGGCTTCACCTGTCGTTTGTAGGTCTCCAGCTGGGCTCGTGCTGCGTTGGCTTTCTTCAGCTCATCCTCCAGGCTGACTGTGTTGTGCATGTACATCATGTTGGTCTCCTGCAGCGACTTGACCTGTCTGCGGAAGTCGTTCAGATCCTGCAGCTTCTTCCGATACACTTCCACAGTTGATTCCAGCTTACTTGCCTTGTCTGCAGTAGCCCTTAAAGTATGAACAGGAATTAGAACAGAGAGCATGTTTCTTCAAAAGCTTACAAAAGCCCAATTCTGCTGTCATAAGCATCAAGCTATTTTCAAAGAGAGATGCAACACGCTTAGCGGCACTTACATCTTACTGCTTTATTTTTAAATGTATAATGAACATAAACTTGCTCATAAAAATTGAAATCAGCACAGGGTTTAAGTGGGAGTAAGACTGACAGTTGTATGCAAGAAGTATGAGCAAGGGTTAGTGTGTCAAATACCCCTGGGGAATTCTGTGGGGTGCAATGTAAATGCACCACATCCTGTGCTAGATAGTCTTCTCAAACTGCTGGTACCTGGGAAGGAAAACCACACAGGTGTTCTCATGGTGGGATTATACATAATGAGAACATAATTGCACTATGAGAATGGTCATTAGCAGATATGACCAAGAATTATCAGCTTATCACTAACAAAAATCCACACAGTAAGAAAATACTGGAATCATAAATTTCAAATTAATTTTAATATTTGTGTTTAATATCTGCATTCTCATATCATTAAAAACTGGTACAAGAAAATTATGGAAAAAAATCTATAGTTAACATTTGTTTCAGATGTTACTTAAGAATCACTGTAAGTTAAGCCCCTGAAACCAATTTTCTTTTTATGTTTTATTGATAATATTTTATGAATAGCAGACCTGCTTTCACAGTGTGAGTTCTTGGGTGGTCTGGTATTTTATACAGTTTACACAAGCTGGAATGTTACCTTAAATTCTCATAGAGGTTACTTTGTATTTCATCTTCATTTTGTTAATGATCTCCCTAACCTAAATCTGGCCTAGAATGCTGACAGCAAAATTGTGTCTAGCTGTATATATGCTTTTCTACTTTAGAACTTCAACTTTCCATCCCACATGAAGAAGTATAAGTTCTGCAGTCATTAATTCTGCTTTAATTAATTCTATGTGTTATTCTTGTCAAACAACAGAGGTTTGCCTGAAAGCTTCCACTTCATCTCTGCTTTGTCAAACACCTCATCCAGGTAAGATCTGCAGAAGTAACACCTCCAAAAAATCTTGTTAAATATAAAGCCTTGGATTTAGTCATTAAATCCTCCTAATGTGTGTGTGTGTGTGTGGAGCTCCCCCTACTACATACCTAAGAATATCATTTTCATCTTTCAGGGCTCTAGATTCTTCTGCCAGAGAGGTCAGTTCATTGTTTCTATGCTGCAGTTCAATCAGTTGTTTTTCTAGATCTTCACAATGGACACGATAATCATCTTTTGCAGCTTCAAGCCTACCAGATCAAAACCAGGAACTCTGTTAGGACCATTTTGTTATTATACAGTTCTCATTTAGTGCTAGAATTACTAAAAATAAGACAAAGGAAAACTGTTAAGTCACCAGAAAAATGGTATTGCAAACACAGAACTTTTTACTGTCTACCTGTTAAATCATAATGGATTGTTCACTACAAATCTGCCACACCAGTATCAAGGGATCACATGAAAAGTGATTTTTCCCCCACTATGTACCACAGAGAGAAAGACTAATATGTGAAAGAAAAGAGTACAGTAAAGAGATATGATGGTGTTAGGTGGGTTGGGGTTTGTTTTGTTTACACACCAATCACTTCAGCACTCATTTTCTGTCCTCCCTCCCCTTTTCTGAAGTATCAGAGGGCTATACCAAAGTATATGACCAAAGTAATATCTTTTACAAGTAACAGTGTCTTTTTAAATATAAGGACTATCTTTAAAATATGCTTATACAGCACTAGAAAGCTTTTAATGCAATAGAAATTGAGATGGAAAATCCCAAAAGAGTATCAGAAATTCTCAGGATATATTAGACAAGTGAGGGATTTTTGAAGGAAATAATTTAATACCTGAAGTTTTCTTCTTGCAATTGCTCCAGCTGCAACTGTGCATTAAAATACTTTTTTGCCACCACAGTATTTGGATCATCAAGAGAGTCGTCTAATTGCTCTAGTCTGTCATTCATAATCTCATTTTCTGACATCAAGCTGTTTTTTTCATCCTGGAGGGCAGCTACCTAGTACAGATAAAACAGCATCAACACTGTAAGACCTGTCCAAAGAACTCAAGCAAGGCAGCAGGATGTCACCAAATTAGTTTATGAAAAAGGTTGAGCACTTAGAAATTTTAGAATGTAGTTTTACAGAGCACACTTGAGCATACAGATGCTTTAGTGTATGACAGTTATGAAGCACTAAAGGAAAAGTCCTTCTAAAAAAAAAAGAAAAAAGACAATTTTTTGTAACTGAAACCACAGTAAAGGCACACAAAGTGATATGGAGAGGAACTGGAACTTTCATTAAAAACACCACGGACGCCGTACAAAAAACTCCAAAACTGGTGCAAAGGTTACTCTCCATCTTGCTTGTACTGGACAATAAGCAGCAGGATGGCATGGCCAGCACACCCAGGGACTGCCGTGCTCAGCAGTGAATGGCTGCGCGTTCGGAAGCGGTTTCAGGCGCCGCAAGCACACACGCAAAAGAAAACCTGGCCAGCTTCAGAGAGAGCATGCACTGGGCAACAGTCAGATACTGGGTGCTCACAGCTAAGCAAATGAGGATACAACACTTCACTGGAAGTATATTAACAGCCATAAAATGGGGAAGGATTAGGAGGATAGAACCTTTAAAGTTTTTCTAGTGAAAGCTGTTGTGTTAATTTTAACGTCCTGTCAAACACAAGAGCACGTAGCATGTGTTAGTCAACTGGCATTTAAACAGGGACAATATGCTTTTTGGGTTATGTTTTCCTGAATCAGAAAGTAAACCTACCTTTCTTATACTCTTGGAAAATATCAAGGAAGACTGAGACCTTACAAGTGAATTTATTAAGAATTAGTTTAAATGAGAAGTGTCAGTCAATATTACGGCTTCAAATAAATAAAATTAAAAAAACATATCATGATATTATAAAATAGATACAACCTAGAGTATGCAATATTAAGAAACAATTTGTTTGTGATCATAATTTTAAAGTCTATCAGTCAAACAGATATAAAAATCAAACAGTAGTTAATCTACCGCTTCATTAGGTGCTGGTTTTCTGGGTTCACTCCTTTTTTACAATACCAGATGTAATTTACTATTTGCATTCACACAAACATCTGTGAGTAGAGAGCGTATCTGAGCCTTGCTCAGCAAAACACTTCCTGTTCAAGGTTCAGCCACTCCTTAAGCATGTACAACATTCAGACTTCAAGAATAACATTAAAGACATCTCCCATCTCAGACTTAAAAAAACCTTAAAATCAAACTATGACACAACTCAGAGCAAGTTTTACATCTTTTCTCTGTTCCTTTCTGATAGTTTTTTATTATTTCAGCATAACAGAAGTGGTGTCAAAGTCAACACAGATTATAAAGAGATATTTTAAACACACATCACAGTATTACAGAGTGTGGTGACATTAACTCCTCTGTTTATACTCAGCAGTACCTTTCCCTTAAACACCTTTCACCTGTCCCATACTATGTTATGAGCAACTGGCTTTGCATAACTTATGATTAATTAATAGAGAAATCTGGAAAGACAAGTTTGTGGGAGACAGGTGAAAGCCTGGGACTTCTGCAGATTCTGTTCTCACTAGGAAGCCTTACTGCTGCCTCAAGAAAAAAGAAAATTAAATACCAATTCCATTATAACAATAGCTTCCTGGGCATGGCAACTAGCTCTGAGCTACTTCATATACAAGTATTCAACTTTTTCAGTTGTCACTGCCTGTAAGAAACGTAAAGCTGGCCTCTGCTTTTGTGGGTGTTCACTTTCAGATGCTCACACAGCCAGTACAGCCCTTTGGCTCCTCTAAGAAGATGCAATCCAAATGTTCTCTTTGTGCAGAGCCAAATTTGAGATGAAGTGCCTTGCCAGATAAAACTCTTTCTATTCTCAGATTATTGTGCCATAAAAGAGGAATCACACTTAAGAGTATCAAATGAATTCTTTTTTTCCTTTAAAAAGTTGATTGAAATGCAAATTTCTCTTTATTGTCACAAAATCCTCTCTACTTTTTCTCAAGAGTGACTTGATTAACTGCTATATCCATTAAAAACAAAAATAGGTCTATTATTAGTGTTGTTTGAAAATGTCAGCAAGGATCTATTAGTTTCCATTATTTTATCCAAAAGTATCCTCCATGCTACACTTGTGCATGACAAAAAGTTAACAAATTTTAGATAAATTTCAAATTTAGTCATTCATCAACTCCTATTCAAACAGCATCATTTTCCTGTGATTAAATCTAATGACTGGTTATTACATGAACCGGATTTTTTGGACACAGTACAAAAGACTAGAGGAAACAGTGATTAAAAATGAGAAGGGCAATTTTTACAACCACGAGAACATTGTTTTAACACTACCTGCTACTAAAGGTAAACAAAGGTAAGAGATCAAAGACCATCTGAGGTAACAGCTGGCACAGGACCTCAGCTTACACTTCCATTGGAAAACATTCCCCAATAACTGCATTTTGGAGTACAGAATGATTGCTTTTCCCCCACAAGAATTCTCACAGAAATTTAAATAATGCAAAATTCACTTTGCCCTTCACTTCTGCATCTTAATAGCAGCACCACTACATATTAAAGAAGTAAGCAACTTGCTGTTTCTTACCTGCAAATCAAGCTCTTGACATCTTTGTGCCAACTCTTCTTTTTCTGCTAACGCTTCCTGAAGATCCTCCAAGGCTCTTTTAAGCTTTCAAAAAATAAGACAGTCAATCACTGTGGCCCATATCCAAAGTGCTCACAGTTGCAGCTTACAAAACAACTTAACTGCTTATATGAACTGTTTAAGAAGTATGTCAGGTGCACACACTGACACAGAAACCTATATATACACTGTTACATCAGGATCCCTGCTCGTTTCACTTGTCTTCTAAATGACTGCCACATGTAACAAGTAAATTACTGAAAAACAGCAAACACAGCAACCTGGGCTAAAGGCATAACAAAACGAAATACAGGAGCATTCATGTGATCACCATTTCAAAATCCCCGCCTGTTAAAGAAATGCCTGCCCTTCATCTTAGAATAGAAATACTGATGCTCCTTTATGAGCAGCTACTTGTAAAGACAAGTTTCATTTTATGTGTAACTTGTAGTGTTATCAAGACTTTCCATGACCCCTTAACAATAACCTGAAGTGTTCAGCCTGGCATGGCTGAGCCTTGATGTACCCTCACCTCTTCTTGCACTGACCAGTTTTACCCCATCCAGTAAGATGACGTAGCAGGCACTGATTTTTTTTTTTTTTTTAAGAAGCTATAGAACAGCAGATAACTTTTTACTTAATTAGCACTGAAAAACAACATTACTTCACTTAAAGCATGGCAAGAAACCAGCTTATTGTTCAGGCTTGATCTACAACAGCGACAAATATTAGGCAGCTACCTGCTGTTCCACTTCACTTGATGCATCACAGGTGGAAGGACTCGTTACTTCCTTGCTCATGAGCTACAAGAAGAGGCCACAGGAAAAAAGGTTAAGTTAGAGGTTAAATACCTGTAAATTCACTGCCTACAGAGTACCAATTGTGTTTTCCACTATATCACTGCATTCCTTCAGTATGTCAAAATAGATTAATAGTAATAATAAAACCCACCTCATGACTGGTAAAGGATTTAAACAAATCTAGAGTAAGACTACATTTTTTACCTCTCCCTCCCTTCCCCCCCCCTCAAAAAAACAAAAATAAAGTTAGCAGTAATATCTTATTGGATGAATCTGTGATCTGTTGAAGTTAAAATGGAGTGAACCAGAGGACAGGATTTCAGTCAATTAAATTAACAGTCATCACACTTCTTTGTACTCCGTTAATTGCCACTAAGCAAACAATGGGAACATTAACACTGCTCTCACTGATCTCCAGTACAAAGAGGTACACAGTGTATCTGTCAACAATTACAGGGCTTTACTTTTCACTCAGGAATTACTGTATTATTTCTAGACCTTCTTCAGAAATTTTAATTAATCAGAAGACAACAACCAAGAGGTTTATGGATTTCTTTCTACCAATAGGACCCCTGCACCTCTAAAGACTATCCAGTCAATTTAAATCTGAGTTTCAAAGCCTATTACCAACTCCACTCACACCTTGATGAGGTTGCAGTTACACACCACCTTTTCTTCAAAGTCAGTATTTAGTTTCTCCACACCTTTCTCCACACTCTGCTTCAGTCCTTAAGCTTACAAATGTAGCTTGGTGACTGCAGAGCTAAGCCATGAGCTGGATCTCCAAGATGATCCAACCAAAACCAAATTAAAACAGGAGGAGGAGCACACCATGACAAGAATGGAAGAGATGCAGCTGCAAGCTTGTAAATCAGAGGCTGGAATGGTCCTTCCATAACAATGCAGCCTCACAGACACAATCAGGTTAATTCTGGGACCAAGACTATAACACTGGGACATTTCAGAACCTGACTCCAGTATAATCAGTGGTTGGCAACTATATACATTTCTTGTGTGGAATGAAAAATCTTAAGCATTTGTTGTATGTTGGGGCACAGGAGACTAAAATCAAAACCCTTTGGTTGGAATCTGGAGCCTCTTGGTCCTGAACCTCCCAAATAATTTAGGAAAGTACTTACAGTCTTCCCTGTAAGTTCTTTCATTCAAGCAAAGGTCAAAGATAACAAATAGATATTTGGACTTCTCAACTGACAGCATTAGGCTGTGAACTGTTACCCACCTCTTGAATGGCTGTCATGACAACATGCTGAACAGACTCTTCAAGGGTCATGATATTTTGTATGTGTTCTGTGAAAAACAATTTGCAGTGACTCATGACCACGTTCATCTTAACAGCTTGAGTAATGTGATAAAGTGTTTGCAGAAAGATCCAGAAGAAACTATTATCTATAAAGCTCCTTCAGAACAGGTAGTGGTCTTTTTGTACAGAGGACTACTGTTAACCAACAACATTATTATCCAGTAATATGGTATAAACACAAGAGATTATAAACTCTGAACTGCACAAATTAATATTCTGCATAACAGAGTAAGGAGCAATGCCATCAGAGCATGGAGCATTAGCTCTGGTATAGGGAGAGAAAACAGCCAATTCAATTTTGAGACTCTGCAGACAAACAAGAGACAGTTCCCAATGTAAGTTTTTAATTTAATTTGTTAGATTTGCATTTGAATAGTAAATTTTAGGTCTTATTTTAATAAGTACAAATAATCCTCAAATGCTTTAGATTGTTTTTTAAAACCTACTTGAACAAAGTTTTGAGTTTTATCCAAAGAAGTTTCCCACAGATTTTCCTTTAAGTGAACTCCAGTTTCAGAATAGGAATGTAACATATTAAAAATAGAGACTTTCTGACACGTAAGAAAAAAGTTTCTATGCCTCTTATACCTTAACAATCACTTGTCAAAGTCTGGTGATTGTTGAACAGGTTAAGGTAGTGCCTACCTTGTTTCCTCTCACAGTTGACTGCACAACCTAAAATAAGCTGCAGAAGCCTGCCCAGTTCAGTGGGATCTGAGTTCTCAGATATCTGGTTTAAATCTGGAATAAGCTCTTCTGAAATCTGCTGACCCAAGAACTGAAAAAAAATGGAAAAAAAATAACTAAGAGATAAAGCAGACTCCCACTTTTGTACAACATGAAAATCTGGTATCACGCAAAAAATCTGGACTCGGTGAGCCATGCAGAGAAAATGATCCAGGAGGATTTGTACCTTGGCTTTCAGCTTCCAAGTGAATATCATAAAACCTAGACTGGGGTTGCTGAGTCTGTTCTGTTGTGTACAAAAGGATTAAAGCTTCTCTAGACAAGAGTAAACATGAATGCACAGACTAAAGTCAACAGGATTCTGCAGCTCAGTCCTTATGACATTTACCTGGGCAGAGACACGGCTTCCAGATTATACTCCAAGAGTCTTATTTAAAATACATCTGCTCAAATTAATTTTATATTCCCTCAGACCTCCCACTTAGCAGATAATCAACATACACTTTCTGCCAAAGAAGTCCTTAAGATAAATTCACTTGCCAACAAAAAAAAAAATAGCCAGGTGAAGGAGGGCAATAATCCATACCTCATGGTAGTAGTCCATAATTCCTTGCAGTATCTTCTTCAGATTACTGGACTAATTGTTGTGCATGAAAGACAAAGTTACAAGCTTTAATTAAAATTTTTGATTTTGATGAAATATCCCAACAGAAAATCCCCATGCAACAATGCTGGAAGGTACTTAAAACTACCAACAGACAGTTCAAGTTCATTTAAAACATGCTTGAAAGCCTGATCTTAATTCTGTAAGTTTTGGACTGCTAGATGTCAGGACTTCATAAATTTCACTGTCTTCAGTTTTAAATACCTTTATTCTCCAGTTGTCACCAACATCATCTTTAATGCGATTTAGCCAAGAGGCATCAAACCAAGCAACGTCTCTGAAACAAAATTAAATGATTAATCAATAAGCACAGACTTAAATAAGACAGCAAATTCCCAGCATTAAATCACCAGGTGTTGAACTACAGTGTCTAATGAGGCATGAATTTCTGGAGATTGCAAGGTAAACTTATGTCCCAGGAAATTCCCATCCTGCTGGCTGCATTAAGACACCTTCCAGGGCTGGGACAATTTCCATGTGTGCTTGAGCTGGGAAGAGCTGGAACACAAGGATGTGTAGATCTTTGCCATGCTGAATTTTTATACCTGACAAAGCGATCGGAATCATGCAAAGAAACATCCCTTTTTGACTAGTGCTGATATCGAGTTTGGTATCTATTCCTGCAGGTTGGACTTTCCAGCATTCACCACAATTTGTCAAAGGCACTTATTAAAAAAACAGTTTGAACTACTGGCATTTTGTATTTTTTGTGTGTTTGGCTCTCCTGGGCAGAAGCCTTTTCACTTTGCCAGCATAAATAAAGATGAGTTGTTGTGGGAGGTGTTTATACACACCAAGCTGCCAAGCAGTACAATCACAACATATTTAACAACATATTAACTTTTACAACGTACTGTTTATTCAGTGGTATCAAAGCACCTAATAAAGGACAATTATTATCCCAACTTGCACATGAACCAACTTGGCTGTGCAGAGGTCTGCCCAGAGCCTGTGGCAATCCAGTACCCCAAACACGTGGGAAGCAATCCTCAGCAAATCCTATATCAATTTTTGCCATGTTTCAGGAAAAATATGATTTCTGTCCTTACACAGCACGTTTTAAATCTTCACAAGCAGACACGAGGGCTTCTGAGTTCAGGAGGGGTTTTCTTACGGGGGTGGGGGTTTGTGGTGGTGTTTAAGTAATTTCTTAATAACCAAAATTACAATTTGAGCAGGAGATGGTAATGCAGACTTCTCTTTAATTATCTTATCCCAACAACAAGTGTTGATGGGAAAAGTGAAAAAGATCATGTCATTCTTGCCTAGTTATCCTTTATGCTGCAGTATAAACAAATATATATATATATATTTATATATTTTTTTTTATCACCTTCTCCATCATGTTATTATTCAACTGTTACATCATCACCAAAACAGCAATACGCAGGCATATTCTATCTTCTTCTATAAACTGCCCACTCCGAGTTTCTGCCCACTTTAAAAGCAACTACGTATGTCAGACACAAAAACCTCAAGGAATTAAATACCTCTTCTTCAAACTGGAGAATCAACTTACATCTGGTGAAGCACTTGTGCCATGGCAACCCCATTAGTCAGGTCCTGAACATCTCTGCAAGGTGCAGCAGTGTTGAAGGTCTGCAGCTAAAACAGGGAAAAAACACTGTGTTTCTCATTCAGCAGACAAAAGGACAGGAAATTAGTTACCACTTTCCTTTTCCTCTTTAAGTTAAAGATGTCTTTTCACTTGAGGCAGCTAAAATCCTTTTTGAATATGCAGGTTTTAAGCCAACCCAATTATCTCAGTACTTGTGACTGTTATGACTAGTAGATTAAAAAGTTAGTACAACCACCCACACTTTGCTTTTTCATGCCAGACCTTCTATTGTAAATCAAATTATGGAATGATAACTTGGGAAACTACAGTTGTATTTATCCATCCCTCCAATTATGTTGCAGTGCTTAGTTCTGGCCATAATTACCTAAATAAAAAATGGTATCAGAATAAGGTGTGAAATTTGCAGAGAAAAAAAATTCCAGTCTTTTACAACAAGAACTTAGTAATAGAAGTAGGATGGGATTACCTCAGTGTTAAAAATGTTTCTCCATTTTAGATATTTTGGGGTTTTTTTAAGCTATCCCCAAGCTTATATCTAACATTATGACAGAATTAGATGTATATTTAGAGTTGCAATATTTTATTCCTCCACAATCAATCACCTCAGAACTAACTATTCTAGGTGAGAGAGCCATTTCCATACACATGTCAGTTCATCACAGGAAAATAAGAGCCTTCTTCACCACTATGAACAAAATAGAAAGTTTGCTGTTAGTGCTACTAAAAGATGTGTATATGAAATGGAATTGGAGCAAGTACAGGTCCTTATAATCTCTGTCCATTGCAGAAATCATAAATGTAGGAGGTTTAAGAAGTCAGCGTCCTAAATTACCTTTCATCTGCAAGAGGGCTTTCCCAAATGTTCTGTGAAACACAAGCTTCTTCAGAACACACTGGTGAATGACCTTGTGTTTGGGAAATGGAGCTACTTGGACCACAGTGACGGAAAAACAGTTTCCAGTGTGAGAATCTGAGGCAGTTTTTGTCCAGTCTGTGTTTACAAAGAGTGACCACAACTCTGAATATTTGCTTGCTTCAAAAACAGCCAAATCAAGCCAAGAGAAAAATATGCAGAGCAAGGATTTGTTTTTACTGTTTTTCCATTTGTTTTTCGATTGAAAAAGCAGTTTAAAATCTTGTATTACGGGAAGTGAGAAGTCAGTAATCCCTTGCAGGTTACATAAAAGATTAAGTGGAACACCACAACCCAAAGCTGCTGTGACTGACAGCCCTGGCTTCTGTTACTCCAGCAGCCTCCACACCAACACAGGCACGACTACAAGTCAAAGGCTGAGCTTCCCAGAACCCACAGAATTCACAGCACAGGACTGGGATGCTGCCATGTGGATACACCTCGCTGCAAACCAAGGGAATTGCTAAGCACAGGTACTACCATTTCACCTGGGCCTGGTAAGCAAAGCCTTAGAAAACCCCATGATAGGTGACACTGCTTTATGCAGAATCTCCCAGAATAGAAACAGCTAATTAAAATTAATTATAAAGCAGGACTGACAGTCTGTTTATCTCTATATTTAAAAGTCACATAAGGGCCTAGAAATAATATGAGAGTAGAAGTATTAATTACGGGTTCTCCAAACCTCATGCCAGCCCAATCATTTCCTCAAAATGGATTTTTAGTGTTTAGCAAACCCCATGAAAGCAGCAGGCATGGGAAGGGGGTTGGCAGAACCAGCCACAGACTTCAGGGCTGTAGCAGTGCTCTATTTTTTTAGTTTTACTAAATATAGCTTCAAGGACATGCTACTCACACTGAAAACCATTTTGTGAGTTCCAGCCCAAATGCACCCTGCTACTACAGGAGAAGCAAGTGTTTTTCTCTCAGGCACACAGATATTATGCTCACAATAAACAGCTGAAAAATTAATTTTGTAGCTCCACCACCAAACAACTGCAGATGAAAACATGAGTGTTCACAGTGCCCAGAGGAAATCATCCTTCTCCACCTCGGGAAGGTGTGCCCTCAATGTCACCTGGACAATGTGAGGTTGAATTTCTCCATTTCATACCCAGATTTTACACACTGGGGATTACAGAGCAATCAAATAGATTTTAGAGTAGTAATAAACATTCCCGTTCTTAACCCCAGAATATCGATAGAATAAACTCAGCCACTGGACAGAGTTAACATCACCAACAATGCCAGTGCCATCACTACACCTACTGCTGTTAATCTTTTCCCTCCATTTCCCCCAAAACTCAGTTCAACTGCATTTTGTTTTTTCTGCAACATCCTCAGAACTTCATAATTCAATGACACCTGGGCTGCAAAACCAACACAAAATGTTTTTATTCAAATTCTCTTTCTTCTCAGGATAATGTATGTTTTCTAATACAGAATTTGGTAAAACAAAAATAGAAAAAATACACACTCTGGTAGTGGAACAGAGAAAATCAGAAGCATGTGCTTGCTACGTTAATGAGTAAGCAAACTGAGAAACCTTTAGAACCACAGAGCTAAAGAACTCTTTTCTCTCCAGCATTTCATTCTCACCCCCACACCACATTTTTCCCTATTATTCACACTGAAGTTCAACTTGTGAAGGATGTTTGAAACACATCTTAGAGTGTTAACAATCAGTTTCTATAAAGTTGTAAACTAGGTCTGAGAAATAGGGTGTTAAATCTAAGAACATGCTGACAATGCCTCTGCTGAGGGTTGTACAGAAAACCTGAACACAGGGCTAGATGTTCCTTTACATTGACACAAAGCTCATCTTAAGGCCAGATTTACATTCCCTTTAAGATTCAGGATGTAATTACAGCTATACACTGTGAAGATACTAGAAATGAGAATTAGGCTTAAAATATTTTAAGCAGGAATTATAAAAATTATAAAGGAGTTCAGCACTGCTGACTTAAGGATTTTAAGAAAGAGTTCAGGAATGCAGTGATTTCTTCTGCAACTGAATCATGATGGAATTATTCTTACGTGACTACTGAGAGGAAAACACAAAGTTAAAGAGCACAAAACAGAAAGATTAACCCAGGTCCATAGAGGTAAGCATAAGACAACCAAAATTCTACAGACCAACAAAACCTTGGAACGTCACTAAAAGGAAAATTAACGGAGAAAAAGAAGGAAATTGTTTTTCAGTGATTTATTACCAACTTTAACTCTTCAAAACTTCTGTGCTGCCATGCAGAAATTAAGAACACTACCTACCCTAGTAGCTACCACTTTTGCCAGTTTCATTCCTAGATTTCCACGATGCTTCCAAAACACTCCCTTCTTCCATGATTTACACCTCACAGAGGCAAAACACCTGCTATTTCTAGAGAAACCCTCCACACAGGTAACTGTGGCCTCCCCTGCCAAGCTGTCACACAGCAGTTCTATTTAGCAGAGCTCACTCTCACCAAAAACACTGCACTTGCAAGACCAGATTTACAGACAAGGTCACGGAAGGAGCCTGGAAAGAAAGATAAAGAGGAAGCAGCGATTGATGAGTTTAACAAACACGGTTGTCCTCGATGACCTTAAAAGCCTTTTCCCACCTGAACGATTCCACAATTCCAAACCGGTGCTTCTGGCCCAGGTAACACCCCACACCCAGGTGTGGTGTGCCTGACTAATACACGCTTTAACCAGCTGCTGTGAAACGCTCTGAGGTTTCTGCGCCCGCCAATT